AGTTTGAAATGGGTCTAGATAATCGGTTTCATCCAAGACTGCCTGGACTGCCTGTAACTATCAGCTTTGGCTCTTGACAGCACTATGATGCCTAAACTTGTCAGCACACCCCTCCCTCCAGCATAGGCAGTTGGATTGTTGTTGTTTTTAAATTAAACATAGCTTGTTGTGTCATTTGAAGAGGACAAGCTGTGATTGTGTAAGGTCTGGAACAGATCTAGAGCCCCAATGCCAGGGGTGGGAAGGCCTGCAAAAGGTAATTCAACACCAGCATCTCTCCCTTGCACTCTTTAAAAGCTCCAATTGCACTCACCATCTTCATTTCTCCAATTTCTTCCCTCTGGGGCCTATTCAGGAAAAAAATGTTTGTGCTAACAAACACACCTTTTAAAAACTCTTCTGTTCAAACAAACATACAGAAATAAAGTGCCGCTACACCATTGCTGCCACTGGCCAACCAAAGCAATCAGGGAGAGTGAGTCGCCATTTTTTTCTTTTGAAAACCGATCTCTATTAAAAATATTAATAAAGGAAGAAAAGGATGAAAGTATTCCTTTCTGGCCATCTGATAAAGGGGGTGGGAGACAATGACAAATGTCCTGGGCAGCAGCCAAAAACTATGGCAGCCTAGTGAGAGAAGGGGGCCGGTAGACTATCCAGTCATGTGTACATAAAGTTGCCAGATTAGATCCAGGACAGGTAACTTTAATCCTTAACAGATATGCCTCAGATAAAGGTGAGGTGTGCCCCTCATCCCTTGACTATCCAGAGCTGTGTGCTCCTTTCTTCATGTTCCTCTTGCTGTCCTCCAGCAAGGCAATAGCTGTATTGGGGGGCAGATGGCTGTGGATGAATGTTGGGGTTTGGAAAGTTAGGGAGGATACTATTGCCCCACTTGATGGAGTTTTATGGTTCCTTGTCCTGCTTCCATGATCTGTTAAGGATTAAAGTTTCACAAGCCATGTCCTAGATTCAGTCTGGCAACCCACCACGTATATGATGGTGACAGGCCCTTTAAATCCTAACAGTGCAATTGACCATGGTTAGTTTTAGCTTCAGTTAGTGGAAACAAAACAAATTCAAATTACAATTTGGGAAGATGGCTTAAGTCTATAAATCATAGATTATCTTATTTGAATGTAACAGATGTGAAAACTCCTGGTTTCCTCACTACCGTGGTGGTGATGGGTGGGAGGAAGCACACAGTCTTAAAGCTCACCGTTGCTTGTATCTGTCATGACAAACTATTGTTTGGTATGATGTTCAAATGCAGTTATTTTCTACATTGCAAGTTTGTTGCTAGCAGCAGATAGTTTTCAAAACTGGAAGAATTAGGAATGTAGCATCATATTTACAAAACAACTCAGTCAAGGAGGAGTTATTTGCAAAAGCCAAATGTACAAACAATATACTTTGGAGGCCATCTGATCTCTTTGTGTTTTAACATGTGTTTTGGGGAAAATAATTATTTTCACACTTATAAACAATGCTACAGTTTAATTAGAATATCCCCTTTTTATGATATGGATTCATCCTTTTGTTTAATATTTGCACAGTATAAATATAAAAGTTAAAAAGTGCAGCTCTGTTGCACACAGAGCTGCAAGGATGGGGAGAAGTTGCCCTCCTTACCTTTAAACCTTTTAATACACAGGCACCAGTGAAGAACAACTAGCTTCTCAGCAAACCAACAAGTTGTCCAACTCATATTTCTCACTCATAGAACTTTCCCTCTGCTCCATCTTGTTGAATATGAGCAGTGTTCATTGAGCCCAGTGTGACTAGCAGTCAAATCATGCAGCCATTATATATATGTGTGTCTTTTTAAAAGTCACAGACACTGGATCTTATAAGTGTGCTCTCAGGGTTGTTGTCTAACAAAAGGAAATAAAGTAATGCAGAGTGTATTGAGGATGTCCAATATAGACACAAAACCTTTCACTTTTTGATTATGTATTCAAAGTTTTAAAATTTTACATACAACTTGGAACACTCAGAGTAAAAAGGGAGTCCAAAGATTCAAAGAAAAATCCATACAGACAGAAGCATATATGTATATATTTAATATATCACTTAAGCACTGAAGACAAAGAAACTGAATCCTCTCAGCAAAACTGTTTGTCGCATAACCCATGCAACTTTTGCCCCCGCATCCTGTTCTTTTGTTCTAAAATGTGTAGACTCAGCTATGTTAACCTCAGTGTAATTGAACTGTATCTTTGTGTTGTTTTCATTGCATTTCCACACCATTCTTGTATCCAAAAGGATTTTTTAAAAGTCTAATTTATAAATTCATAAACAAATGATTGAACTATTAACTGCCCCCCCCCCACATTTCTCCTTGCAAGCATTCTTATTTGTCACTTTCATTAAAACAAAACAAAACAACAGTTGCAATTTACTGTGCGATTGTATTTATGACCTTGCATTTTATTGTCTGTCTCCAGAGCTGGCTTAAAATATTTTGCTGCCTGAGGCAGCTAAGAGTGAAATGTGCCTCTCAGCCTCAGTAGTGGTGCAAGTACTCCAAACCAATCAAGATATTTTGTCTCATGAGACTGAAAATTCTGCAAGCACCTCTTCTTCAGCTTAGCAGTAAAAGTACACAAATGATCATTTAATGAGAAATTCCTGTCAAAACCTGCTCCCTGAGTAAAGTGCCTCCCTCTGCTTCATTTAGCAGTTTTATATGTCTATATGTCTTTACATGGCACCTGCTGGAATTTCTCCTGAAACAACTGCACAACTATCGAAGGGGCAGTCTTGTCCTGGGGCCCTTTCACTCTGCACAAATATATAGTACAGTGCTATGATTCCACTTTGACTGTCAGGACAGCACCCTGTGGAGGAATCATGTAATTTATTGCTTGGGGAGCCACCAGAGCTTTTGGCTGAGAAGTCTAAAATTTATCTCTGTAAACTGCAAACCCTGGGAATTCCACAGAATGGAACCACAGCAATCAAAGTGGAATAATAGCACTTTAATTGTGTCCTGTGAAAGGGCCCTTGGCCACCCTATCACGTGTCTCTAAAGCCAGTTCTACAGTATTCTTCACCCCACCTTAGTGTAGATTGGCAGGATAGGAATTGTTTAAATGAATGAAGAGATCGGTTATTTCAACAATTATTTGTTTCATCCAAAAATTCTGTTGGTTTGCAAGAGTGGGCTTTTAAAATTCTGTTGGTTTGCAAGAGTGGGCTTGGGCCCTGGTGAATTATTTTCCTTTGGCAAGTGCCCAACTGTTTGTCCGCAACTGATTTGTGTGTGAGCATGGACCGCTGGTGGGTGATTGTCTGTTGAATGTCTGTCTGTCTCAGCAACTCTGGGGTATGGGCTTTGGCTAAGTGGGAAAGGGGGTCCTGACTGCACACGGAGGGGGGAGATCTGCGGAAAGGGCTCTGTTCCAGCTCCTCTCCCTCCTGGATTTCCTGGGGAAGAGACTCTGGACATCTGCTGCTTGGGAATGTCCTAATGGGTGTGCCTATAGCATCCTCAGTTCAGAAGACAGGCAGGCAGGAAGAATGGGTGGGGGACAAAATAATTTACAATGCAGTTGGGCCCTGGGCCCTTTGCAGATTTCCAGGCCCCAGTACCAGCTACCCCTGCCCTTCAGTCCCTGTGAATTGGATCTACTGAGTGGTTAGGTGGGCACTGATTTTTCCTGATTCTAGTGATCTTCCCCTTCTTTAGTGAGGGGGAGACAACGGGAAAGCCACCTTCTTTCCTATTCCTTCAGTAAGCTTTGCATGTTCTGCTCATGACTTTATACGTCCCGTTAGTTTTTTTTAGCTATCCTAGAACCTTCAGAACAGAAAGGCTTTGGGTGAATCTGGAATCACAATTTTGTATCAATGTACTTGGTGTAGTGGTTTGAGTGTTGGACTACAATTCTGGAGATCAGAGTTTGATTCCCCGCTCGGCCATGGAAGCCCACTGGGTGACCTTGGATGAATTACACACTCTCAGCTGCAGAGAGCTCAACTTATGGCAACCCTAAGGGGAAGGAATCACATGATTGTGATAGCTTCACCTTAGGGTTGCCATAAGTTGGAAACAACTTGAAGGCACACAATAACAAACCTCTTTAAAAGAGCTCCCTTTCAAAATTTTTAAAATGGTAACTCTAAAAAGTGCGTGCCATGTTATTTTACCTTGCAATCATTTCTGCACCAGGCAGTCATGCTGCTTTCCTTTCCTCAGTTCCTCTTTAAATAAATAAATAAATAAATAAATAAATAAATAAATATTCCACCATATAATCAGGCTTTAACAATTAGAACACAATGCCTTTCTACCACTGCTCTGAATTCTCAGCTGAGGAATTCCTGCTGCATTCAAGCACATTTGTGAGTCATAATTGCTACTCAGATAATCAAAAGCCATGGAAAGAAAGAATGCACTTTCATTGAAGCGAGAGTCACATGTGCTTGAGAAACTGACCATGGTGAGGAACAATGTTAAGATCTGATATGTAAGCACCTTGTTGGTAGGTTTTTGTGCATTCCATTGTAATGGTAGTGGTTGTGACTGTTCCACTGTTTTTCTCCCCACTTATCCACAATACAACATGAAGTATCTGAGCAAGGTGAGCCAGTGTGGTATAGTGGTTTGACATTGGACTACGGCTCTGGAGACCAGGGATCAAATCCCGGCTCGACCACGGAAACCCACCGGGTGACCTTGGGGAAGTCACACTCTCTCACTCTTAGGGGATGGCAATAGCAAACCCACTCTGAAGAAACTTGTCATGAAATTCTTATGCTAGGTTCACCTTAGGGTTTCCATAAGTCGGAAATGACTTAAAGGCACACAACAATGAACAACAAATCTGAGCAAGGCTACATCAACTACAGTTTAGCATGGGGTGGGGAAAGTGAAGCCCTGGGACCCATTTTGGAAGGTCCCCAAAATGTCCAGGAGATCTCTAAATCCCAGGGCTCCCCACGTCAGCTAGTTTTGTGATTCCCAAATGCCCTAGCCACCAGCAAAAACATTGTGATTTGGGTTATCTTATCCCTTCATTCTCCCTAACCCCCTCCCTGCCCTCAATCTGGAAAACAAGCAAATTTCCATCCCAAACAAGAAGTTATATTGCAACATTTCAGGTCATGATCAGAGGAATGGTGTGGCCTGTAGGGAGGTCATGGGGCCCAGAATAAACCCTGCTGCCTTTTTCATTTGGCCACTCCTGATTTCAGTCCTCATATTAAAAGAGGTCTCTAATAAAAAGCCAAATATATTATAATTATACATATTTGAGTTGGAGTAATGCTATAGGGCCTCTTAAATTTCACATTTTTAAATTAACATTTTAGAGGTACCACTATGTGTCAATCTAGCCCTGTATCTGTCCTTGTATTTATTTCTTAGTAACTTGTGCCAACATTAGTCAACTGAGGGGCTATGCAGACGGGTGGCTCTCGGTGGATCGAGGCTGCAGAAACTGTGTGCCACGGCCTCGATTCTCCCTTTTGCCACCCCTGAAAGGAGTGGCAAAAGGGCACCCAAATAGCAGGCATGCGGCTCTTTAGCACCCTTCTGGTGCAGTGTGTAAAAACGTTGCATTGGAAGGACGTCCTGACGCTGCGTGCTGTGCATAACGGTGCGTGGCGTCAGGATGTCATTGGGCTGGGGCTGGGCGGCTGATGTGCGGTTGCCCCTCCCCATCTTTGCTTCCAGGCTGGCCCTTTGGGCTGGTCTGTAGAGGCCTATAGTGTCCCTTAGTTAAAATGTGTGGTTGTTGTTGTTATTATTTTGTTGTGTGCCTTCAAGTCATTTCTGATTTATGAAAATCCTAAGTGAACCTATCATGTGGTTTTCTTGGCATGATTTTTTCAGAGGGGGGGGGGTTGTCCCTGCCTTCCTCTGAGGCTGAAAGCGTATGACCTGCCCAGGGTCACCCAGTGGGTTTCTATTGCTGAGTGGGAATTCAAACCCTGATCGACCAGTGTCCTAATCCAACACTCATACCACTACACCATGCTGGCTCTCATTGTGTGTGTGTGCCTTTCAATGTATGGCAACCCCATGAATTTCTCAGGGTTTAATTAGGCAAAGAATACTCAAAGATGGTTTTGCCAGTTGCTTTCTCTGAAATATAGCCTATGGCACCTGATATTCATTGGTGATCTCCCATCCAAGTACTAATCAGAGGTAACGTTGCTTAGCTTCCAAAATCAGATTGGATCTAGTGCCTTTAAGGTATTGTTGTTGCTGTGTACCTTCAAGTAGTTTCTGATTTATGGTAACCCTAAGGCACACCTATCATGGAGTTTTCTTGGTAAGATCTGTTCAGAGGAGGTTTGCCATTTTACGGTATAGGTACCTGAAAATCTGTGGTTTGTATTTAGCTGCTCTCCCTGCAAGTGTGTGGAAAGGAGGAATCTTCATTCTACTGCCATGTGTATTTGATGATTGGATATCACAGTAGGGAGTCGCCAAGTCATAGATTATAGTTCAGATTAGCCCTGCTGGCTGGGTTTGAGTGGATTAACATCATTTGGAGGGTTACATGTTCTACACTTTGTGTATGTGATTAGGGTGACAATCCTATGAAAGAGCATGAAAAATATACTTTTGGGGATTATAGACTCAGGTGGCATGGCTAGTTACTTTTTTAAACTAAAAAGCTAGAAATCCCTCAGCCAGCCTGTTGTTAACTGTTATCAAATCGACTTTGATTTACAGTGATCCTATGAATGAGAGACCTCCAAGGCTGCAGCCGTACTGCAGAAATAATCCAGGTTGACACCACTTAAACTGCCATGGCTCAATGCTATGGATTTATCAGTCAGAAGAGATCCAGAACTTAAATTCTGGAAATCAAGTGGAGAGCATCTGGATAAAAATTAAAGGGGAAGGAAACAACAGGGATGTTATTGTGGGAGTCTACTACAGACCCCCAAGTCAGACTGAGGAATTGGATGATGCCTTTCTAGAACAAATGACCACACACTCATAAAGGAGAGATGTAGTAGTGATGGGTGACTTCAACTATTCTGATATTTGCTGAAAGTCAAACTCAGCCAATACTTCAAGGTCTAGCAAATTCCTCACTTGTCTCAAAGACAATTTCTTTGTCCAAAAGGTGGAAGAGGCAACAGGGGGTCAACTATTTTAGATCTGATTCTAACAGGGATGACCTGGTAAACGGGATGCAAGTGGTGGGATCCTTAGGTGGAAGTGATTATGGTCTCCTGGTGTTGCTTATACAGTGGAAAGGAGAAGTTAGGCATAGCCAGACACTCATTCTAGACACTAGGAGAACTGATTTCAATAAACTTAGGGAAACACTGGGAGTGATCCCATGGCCAGAAATACTAAAGGAGAGAGGAGTTCAGGATGGATGAGAGTTTCTCAAAAGGGAGATACTGAAGGCACAATCTCAAACTGTTCGAATGAGAAGGAAAAATGGGAAATGTCTGAAGAAACTGGATAGGATGACAAAGAACTTTCAACTTAACTAAGTTTTAAACGGGAGATGTATAAGAAATGGAAAACGGGCAAAATCACCAAAGAGGAATTCAAACAAATAGCTAGCACATGTAGGGGTAAAGTCAGGAAAGCCAAAGCACAGAATGAGCTCAGGCTTGCTAGAGGGGTTAAGGACAATAAAAAGGGCTTTTTTGGGTATGTCCGTAGCAAAAGAAAGAATAAAGAAATAGTAGGGCCACTGTGCAGAAAAGATGGAGAAAGTCTAACAGGGGACAGAGAAAAGGCAGAACTACTCAACAGCTTCTTTGCTTCAGTCTTCTCACAAAAGGAAAAGGGTGTTCAACCTGAGGAAAATGGAGCAGAGGACAGAATAGGGGAAATGCAGCACAAAATAAGGAAAGAAGAAGTACAAGAATACCTGGTTAACTTAAATGAATTTAAGTCTTCAGGACCAGATGAACTACCTCCAAGGATATTAAAAGAACTGGCAAATGTAATCTCAGAGCCACTGGCAATAATCTTTGAGAACTCCTGGACAACAGGAGAAGTCCCAGCAGACTGGAGGAGGGCAAACATTGTCCCCATCTTCAAAAAGGGGGAAAAATCGTCCCAACAACTATCACCCAGTTAGTCTGACATCAATACTGGGAAAGATTCTAGAACAGATCATTGAACAGAAAGTCTGTGAACATTTAGAAGGGAATGCCATAATCACTAAAACTCAACATGGGTTTCTCAAAAGCAAGCCATGCCAGACTAATCTGATCTCTTTTTTTGATAAAATTACCAGCTTGGTAGATGAAGGAAATGTGGTAGACATAGCATATCTTGATTTCAGCAAGGCTTTTGACAAGGTCCCCCATGATATTCTTGTAAACAAGATGGTAAAATGTGGGCTAGACAATACAACTGTGGATTAGTAACTGGTTGACTGATCGAACCCAAAGTGTGCTCAGCAATGGCTCCTCTTCATCCTGGAGAGAAGTGACCAGTGGGGTGCCACAGGATACTGTCTTGGGCCCAGTGCTATTCAACATCTTTATCAACGATTTGGATGAAGGAATAGAGGACATGCTTACCAAATTTGCAGATGACACCAAATTAGGAGGAATAGCTAATACCCCAGAGGACAGGATGAAAATTCAAAATGACTTTAATAAATTAGATAGCTGGGCTAAAGCTGACAAAATTAATTTCAACAGGGAGAAATGTAAGGTAGTGCATTTAGGGCAAAAAAAATGAAATGCATAGATATAAGATGGGGGACACCTGGCTTAATGAGACTACGTGTGAAAGGGATCTAGGAGTCCTAGTAGACCACAGGTTGAACATGAGTCAACAGTGTGATGTAGCAGCTAAAAATGTCAATGCAATTTTGGCTGCATAATAGAAGTATAGTATCTAGATCAAGGGAAGTAATAGTGCCACTGTATTCTGCTTTGGTCAGGCCCCACCTGGAATACTGTATCCAGTTCTGGGCACCATAATTCAGAAAGGATGTTGAAAAACTGGAGTGTGTCCAGAAGAGGGCAACTAAAATGATGAAGGATCTGGCAACCATGTCCTGTCAGGAACGACTTTGGGAACTGGGTCTGTTTAGCCTGGAGAAGAGACAGTAAAGAGGTGATATGATAGCCCTGTTTAAATGTTTGAAGGGATGACATATTGAGGAGGGCGCTAGCTTGCTTTTTGCTGCTCCAGAGAATAGGACCCAGAACAACAGATGCAAGCTATAGGAAAAGAGATTCCACCTCAACATTAGGAGGAACTTCCTGACAGTGAGAGCTGTTCGACAGTGGAACACACTCCCTCAGAGAGTAGTGGAGTCTCCTTCCTTGGAGGTATTTAAGCAGAGGCTGGATGGCCATCTGTTGGGGATGCTTTAATTGGGAGTCCCTGCATGGCAGGGGGTTGGACTGTATGGCCCTTGTGGTCTCTTCCAACTCTATGATTCTATGAGAAGGGCTCTAAATATTCAAGCATTAAATAATATTAAGACAACAATTGTTGTTGAGCCCTGCTAGGAACAATAAAAGTTGCTTGCACTCTATCCTATACACACTTACTTAGGTGTAATTGGCATGGAAGGCACTGAATACATGTTGGACACCTCTAAGTACATACTGTGCTTGTAGGCATCTTCAACTGGCTTCATGCTATGTTGCCATAAGCTAGACTTATAATAACCTCATAACCGTTTTGTATTCACATTTACAACCATGGCAC